ATATTGGCACGGTACAGCCTCTAAGGTTTCAAAATTGAGGCCTTAAGTATCACTTACGAGTACTAGTTGAAGTAGCTGTATGAAGCAGTTTGATTTATGGTTTTGGTCCATTATATCTAACTCTACATTTTGATTAAAAGGCGTTATTCACTTGTGGGTCTATTGTACAAGCTTGTGAAATGAGTAAACAGTTTTATTTGTATACTTGTGTTAACTTTATGAGGGGACACGATTTCGTAACAAAGTCGATAATTTTAATGGCTTGTGCTTGCTTGAGCCTATCTTGAAATTTCCTTTTGAAACACAGTGTTTGAAAAGTTTATAGAAAGGTCAACATCAGACTTCATGACCAGATTCTACATTTTGGTAGATATGCCATCCATTCAATTGGCCTCTTTTACAACCTAGTTTGAATATAATGTTTGATATAATATTCTTATTTAAACTGGGGAAAAAAGAGAGTTCATTTATTAGGCTGACCTTTAATTTCAGAAATACTAGGATGCATAGAAGGAACTCAAGTTTACTAACAACATATGTAAAATACGAATTAAAACTGTTCGAAATTCCTTCTGGTTATTTACATTAGTTTCAGGAAAAGAAAAGGTTAAACAGTGAGCCAGAAATATTTCGAGTTTGGTCTACCACTATACCTGCCAATAAAATAATTTCTAAAACACTAATGCTTTGTTTTTACAACTGAATTTCTTTGTCTTCTATAAGATCCATGTTTTCTATCAATTTACATTTCTTATATTCGCTAAAACACATCCGTTTCCTGTAGAGTACTTTTTCTACAGGTACTGTTAAAATTCTTGACTTTCTTCTCTTTTACAGGCCAGTGCTTATCTATAATTGCTTTCAGCTCAAAATCATATATCCTATTAAATATTACTCCCAATAATGTGTAACATTAATACCTGGACGCAGCCCTTTCTAAACCATCATTACTCCTAATAACATGTAACAGTCATACCTGGTGGGGGCCCATTTAAATATATCAGTACTCACAATAACATACCTGGACACGGCCCATTTATCCATCTATACACACAATAATGTAACGTTCATACCTAGAGGCGGTCCATTTTAAAATGTCAGTACTCACAATATCATGTCATGTCCATATCTGGACACGGCCCATTATGATCCGTCAATGATCACAATAACATGCAACGTTCATACAAGGACTCGGACCATTTCAATACTTCAGTGCTCACAATAATGTAACGTTCATCCCTTCACATGGTCCCATTTACCACGCCAGTACTAACAGTATCATACTACGTTCATCCTGAACACGGTCCTTTTTGATACGACATTACTCACAATGACATGCTACGTTTATCCCCGAACACGGCCCTTTTTGAAACGACAGTACTCACAATAACATGCTACGTCCATTCCTGAACACGCCCCTTTTTGATAATGCATTACTCACATAACATGCTACGTTCAATCCTGAACACAGCCCTTTTTGATACTGCATTACTCATTTAACATGCTACGTTCATTCCTAAACACGTCCCTTTTTGATACAGCAGTACTCACAATAACATGCTACGTTCATCCATGAACACGTCCATTTTTGATACGACATTACTCACAATGACATGCTATGTTCATTTCCCAGAATAACGACCAGAGGAGTCTTGATACCATGCGCAATCCCTCCCCATAACATGACCGATCCTCCTCCAAAGTGGCCATTCTCTATCACGCAATCTTCTGCATAGCGCTCGTGGGTACGTCTATAGACACGATGTCGGCCGTCTGCACGCTAAAGCGAAAGCCTAGAGTCGTTCGAGAGCAGACCCCTTCTCTAACGTTGCATTGGGAAGCGTCTTACGGAATATGCATTCAGCCAATGCTTTCGTCTGGCACGTCGCCGCGCATTAAGCTGTGGTTCACCGCGGTCTTAGACCGAAGTCACGCAGTCGAGTACGCACTGTCGTTGGATCAATTGGAACATGATGACGCCCAATTGTGTTCCTTGCTGTTTCCGTGTCCGCCAGAAAGCGATTGTGTAGGTGCGAAAGTCGCTTTGCCCTTTCCTGCCGGCGCGTCGTCACATGAGGGCGACCGCTTCGTGGACGGTCTGCAACTTTTCTGTTGGCATGTAGTCTTTGGATGAGACGGTAAATGTTCGATGGATGGACTCCAAATTGATTAGCGACCTGATTTTGCGAGGTACCTTGCATAAGAAGTGCAATGACACGTCCCCTGTCAGCTTCGGACAGTCGTGGGATTTTTACGGTGAACTGTTTATGCTTATAATGTGGGAAATCAAGACGGATTTTAAACCAATCCTTTATACTGGGTTCGAGATATCGTGCTTTTGTCTCTTATTCTTTTGTACAAGCGACGTGCGCAGTTTAGTTATGCATCAGTGATTTTAATACGGTACCATAGGGACCTAACTCAAATACACACATTTGTCAAGTTTCAAGGGTGTACGTCAAGGATTTAATTTACAATATTAACTTTCTGCTAATTGCGTTTCTTTTGACTCTCAGTATATATAATTTATCAGTATGTATGGAGGCCCGTAGGTTGCATGTGCAGGGATTGTTTGGATATTGTGGACCGCAAGACTTCTTATCTGCTATTTCGTTAGATTATATGGTTGTCGATATTGCATTTAGTGATTGCTTTATGCCCTTGATTACCTGTTTAGGCTAAATAATATTTATTGTTTTTAAATTCTAAACCTCACTTTGACTAGGTTATAAAAGTATGAAAGTGCGTGAGTGAAATGTGAGTACGGTAGTTATAGTCCCAGGTATGGTATTTTCGTCAGGAATTCTATATCTAACGTCGTGTTTTTGTTTTTTATTAGTTTTACCCCTGGATTTGAGAGGGTGTAACCAGACCCGCCATTGCACGATATTGCTATGACTATGGAAGAGTCATAGTTCTTTGGCGGATGTTTCCCCATCGTCCAGAGTTGTCGTCACTCGGATATCAGGCATAATAAATTGACGTATTCTACATGCATGTGTTGAAGCGATCGCTCTATATACACCGATAAGTTTGGTGTCACCGGTTGATGGTGTGTTGCCTTGTTTGAGCTTCACTTGATTTTGACTGGGCTAGCCATTGTGTGTGGCGTTATTTGGTTAGTCGACAGACTCATGTACTCATAGCTGGCGTGTGGTAAACGACCCGGAGGAGTTCATCGAGGAAAGTTTTAGAACGGAGTGGAAATCATGTGTAACGGTGTGTTAAGAGCGAGTGTACTTGTGTGTGGGTGTGTTGTAATTAGCTCTTTTGTATCATATATTTGCACATGTTTGTAAATGTAAATAAATGTATATATTGTAAAGAAAATATCGCCGTGTTTTCTGCGTTGCTCGTTCCAAAGTTACAGATATCATGTCTTTGTTGCTGGTTCTCAAGTTGCACAGGAAATGCGACAGACACCAAACACTTCAGAGCAACAATGATATTATTTGTATGCTGGGATCGTGACATGACAACATAAAAGGTCACGGGAGCCTTATCCATGGGTCAAAGAGGATATCACCAATTAAAATGCAATCTTAAAATAGTTTACAACCAAGCCGACAGGAGAGCGAACAGAGCGAGTGTATAATCATATCGAGTGCGAAAATCAAATTAAAGTATCTAACAACAGTATTTAAGTATCTACGTCATACAAAGCATTACTTGAGGCTTTTATATCGAAAAAGAATATATCTAAATAAAATAGTAGATAATTCATGCACACAAACCTCATTTAAGAAATTAAATTTTAACAAATCAAGATTAAAGCAGTATTGAACCCATGTTTCATGTTTACTAGAATACTTATTATAGAATAGTTATTTTTTCAAACACGATTTAAGAGATGATATTGAATGATATTAACATTTTTCTGTCTCAAAAGGTGGATTTATTAAACTCTCAATGCATCAATTAATTACGCCAAGCATACATATTATATCACACATTGTTAAACACTTCAACATGTTTAGATAGAGTCTTAAACAATTTAGATATCACAAACAAATATGATGAAATGAAATTTCCTATTATTTTTACACATAGTTTTGTATTTCATAATGAGTTTTATTGGACATTATTTGCTTTAACTGGAATACTGAACTTTGTAAATCTCAGCCTGAATTGTTGGTAAATATGGCAAGTAAAAAAGGATTTGTGTTTGGGACACTTTCAAAACCAGCATGACAACATAATTAATTAATTAATTGTCTTCTGCTTCATAAAGAAACCGTTGATGTAACATTTGGTTAATAAAAGTTAGAGATGGTACTAAGTTGTTCAACGAGAATAAGGTTTATCACAATAGACCATCCGGCCTTCCGAAAATACTGTTTGAACTAAGGAAGTTGATGGTAATTTTTTTGCAACTTTCTTGTAGTGATTAACAACAGCCAATAACATATCACATGGCTCTGATGCAAAGTAATATTCAATTGATTGAATTTTCTTTCCAACATCAGAAACAGTAGAACTTTAACGTTGAAGTATTTCTAAGAGCAACAATTAAAACAGGAATGATGAGAAATTATCGTTTAATGCTAAAATTATTTACAACCCAAATTATATCAAATGTGGAGAGAGAAAAAAAGCATATAATTGAGATGGTCGTTAATACCAAGAACTTTGGGTACGAAAATTAAATTGCATTTACACAACCATTCACGAACACCAAGATATATATAATGTAAAATCCGTAATACATTAACATTTACATATTTGATAACCTGGATCAGCATTTGAATCGTTATCTAACATCACTTGATTAACAACAGCCAAAATGAAAGCTCTAGAATCATTTTACCTAATAATAGATGAAGCAGAGTTGTTGAAATGAATATGCTTGCAGTAAACTAAGGCTAATATTAAAACATAAGCAATATTATCATAATAATAACACTATTGATGCTTATAATCTAGAACACTAAAGCCATGAACAATATTACACCATACGTTCCATGCACGGAGTTCAGATAGATCTGTCACTGGCAATGATATTAATGCATATTATGATACCACCGACAGGGACACCCTCCATGTCTACAAGTACCATCTGCATGGTTGAATTTGTCTTTATAATATGAATGAGAGCTTCTTGCTTCGAACACTTCATCCTTTAACTTGCAGCTATCAAATGCCACCATTCCATCATTAGGATCTCCAAGATTGCTGTATGCCTGCATCAACCAAAGAGCAGCACTCTCCAGTTTATCCTGCCCTAGTCCCCAACTGCTATCGCCACACATTACACCTGATACGTATCTCTTGCCGATGTTTATTAGATCATTATGCTGTACCCCGGTGTCAGAGACATAATCGGTTTTCAGGGTCGTATACACACCATTTTCAATGTTTTCAGTAGGTTTACAGTACCCTTGTCCCCGCAATACACGGCGGATCAATCTCTCTATAAATGTTGGATTTCTACAAATACTTGACAGTTTATCGGCTACGGCACTCCCTGTCCATGGACCTTGCACAGAGAACCAGCGACTCGTCTTCTCATCAAAAGAACATTTATTTCGGTGCAGAGCAGCAGCAATCACCATGTTTCCCATCGAATGTGAAAATATCACCGTGTTACTTATGATTCCATTGGGAGCAGCAACATCACAAAAATGCTGATGTATGTGGTCCACATCCCATCCGTTGAACCTGCTGTTGTATATAAGGAATTTATGAGACACGCATTTTGAAGTGAAACTTTTTACGTTACCCCAGTAAGACGATTGATCCTGAAGGACACTGTTGCCAGGAACGTTTTCACCGGCCCCATGCACGAACAAACATGTGGCAGGAGCTACTCCAGAATCTCTTTTAACTGCAGGGGCATCGTGAATATTGCTACAGTTTACAACTCTGACTTTGTGGCACGGACCATTCTGTACATCGGATGCTATGTTGATACTTTGTTTATCACTTCTTGACCAACTTGTTACCATGGCGTTCCTTTCCTTATACGCAACATATTCTAACTGATTGTCGTAAGTACATATATCAATCGTGCCATCTTCGAGATTCGTCGACCAAATATCACCACGACATTTGTCTGATTGTGAACCGCTTATCCAATCCTTAGCTTTAACAATATGGTCAAAAACGCTAAGCCATCGTGACAGGGAAGTTTCTTCCAAACAAAAGGCTATAGAAGTATTCATGTGAGAAATACTGACCGTCGCTTTATCATTTACCATAATGAAAACGAGATCATAGTCGAAGTCATACTCTGAAGCAAACACCTCCGTCTCCTGAATTCTCATGTTCATCGTATCTGAATTCCATTCTACCTTCAGATACGTTTTTTCAGTGCCAAGTTCGCTACGTTCAACCGTATCAACATCCAAAGATGCACTGAATGAATCGAGGAATACCTTATTAGACTTCACATCCTCAGATTTTCGAAGTCCAAAATACAGCCCAAGAACCAGTGCAACTATACATGCAAAAATTACGACCCCTAACACAACGTGACCGGTGCGATTCATTGCGTTGACACAACGATCTCTCTATGGAAAGTGATGTACTCAGGAAAGCTGATGTCAACAGTTCTGTAAATTATCCAATCTGCAAATGTATTACATAGTCTAATATTAATCACTCTATATATTATTAAATGCAATCACTTGAATGGCAATTGATGTTTTATGAAAATCAATTTTTGAAAAAAAAAAGCATTTTATTATTCCAAAGTGTTTTCTGAGAATGTATATATAAAAGAAGAACCATCATTCAAACTGAAATAAAACCAGGGCCTCAGATAAACGAAAGAAAAGTTAACATGAGGAATCATGTAAAATACAAGGAGAATAAGACCGCTGTTTCCGTAAGAGTGAGCGTCTTCTGCTACATCGACGACACCCGCAATGTTTTTCTTGGTCTATCCAAGTGAATAATGTCGCGTTGACAAAAAAGAACAAGGTTAGCAACAGGAGAACCAAAAAGTATACTAAAGATTATCGAATAACTTCATAAAACAGATTGCAAAGACCTTGCAAAGTCGTTTAATTTACTTTCAGATATATCAATGGCGCATTGTCTTGAAATAATGCGACATATTGACAACGTCCATCAATATACCCATCAGATTCGGAAATCAAGGACTCGACAGACTCTTTTATATAGGCGCTTATTGTAATATCTTTTTACAACGAAATCAATATGGACTGTTTTCAACCAAGCTGTATGACAACTGTGATGATAAGAGATTCACTATTCTGAATGTTCCAATTCGGTACAGTAACCACCCCTGAATCCCCAGGCGGTGGTGTTTACATTGATTCGGTATTCGATTACCTCTTTCTATAATCACGATTTTCTTGCAAGAAGTCGTTAGCTGACGGACAAGCTCGTAAGACAGAGTTTCTAAATATGCTGGTTGTTGCAATTCAAGGGAAAGTTTTGAGATGATCTCGCTGAAAAGTGCTTCTTGGATGTATGAAGCTGGACGTGTGTAATACCCGTTAATCGCCTGTTTGTTCCGTTGTTGATACCGTGTTCTCATTGCGAACGTGACATTTCTTACTTTGATAGACCAACATTTACATGGCTTGCGTCTTCGATGAAGTAGAAGACGCATATTCTTCCGGAACATCTGGTCTTATTCTCCTCATACTTTTTCGGATGTCTCAGCGTAAAAATTTCTTTTGTTCATATTTTGCATTAAATTTATTGAATTTGAGTTTGGATCAATATTATTCTGCCATGTTGTTTTCATATCGCAATTGAAAATACAGTACTTCCAAATAAGATCATTTTAATCACAGTAAAGCTTCACCAACATTTTTATCGATTTTATCACTCACAGCTATGTGTTATGAGCTTACTAACATCTTGCACGGAAATCGTGATGCAGAAGAAACACCATGATATAAGAAAAGCAGGGATGTTGCTTTCCAGAAATACAAAAATGCAAATGAGAAACTGAGAGAATCACGCTTATCACATAGCTTGAACGTAAGTTGTACCTGTCAATTTCCTCGTTGGAAAAGATTGTTGTAAGCGACCGATATATAAAAAATATTGTCGTTTCCTTGATGTCTAAAGGGGAAAATGTTTAATCAAATTAAGAATTCAGAGAAAATTAACGATCTACTTTGTTGATGAAGAAATAAAACACATTCCTTGATCGCTATTTCCATTTACTAACTCTAGGAATTTTTAGAAATACAACATTTCTAAACAAATAAACATCTTATTGTGAAACTATGAAATACACATATGAACTACCGATATCCATAATTCTTCCAACAATATGCCATTGTTACTTGCCAAGTGGCTACATGCATGGGCAGCTGTAGTATCTGCAACGGTTCCTTTAAAAAACTAATCGACACAAAATTTTACATAATGATTTGAGTGTCAGGAATATATGTATAAGAAGTAGTTTAACATTTAAAAAAGAAACTTGACCTAGCTGGGGCGTTTTCGATATGAATAATGTCATGCTGTGTTTTTTCAAAAGTTTGTCTTTGTTATGACTATTAATTCAGATATCAAAAGTCACTCCAATGTGACCACATTAATCCACATAATTGTTTCGAGGAATAGAATCCGGAGGGCTAAATGAAAGATGCTACCACTGCGACGTCATGTCACATAATCAAGTAAGTGGTGGTAGGATGTCGCAGTGGTAACTCTTTTACCTAGCCGTCAGGGTTCTACTCCTGGAATCATGCATAACTTTATAAATGAAGAAAGAAGAAAACAATGCAGTGTGTAAAATTTTAAATGATAAAGTTACAGTATTTCGACATTTTCCAGAATTATTGAAAACTGTTTACTGAAGAGATGCTACTTTTGTGAGAACAATCTCAAAGAAAAAATAATGTAAAAATTCACGTCAAAATTGAACTAAAAGTCTTGACCACCACCTAGAATTCTGAGAATCGGGAGATAAGCGATTATCCTGTTAAGTGAAGTTCAAACATCCAATCATTATTGACACCACATTTGACAGACAGACATGAGTCGGGCATGAACTGTTTAAAAATAATAACATCAGATGAACATTCATCTGTACTTTAAGTACCAGCATGTACGATTTTTCTGAATTATGTAATAGGTAGCATTTCATTTTATGAGGAGATGCCTTTATTGAAACCCTTCATATAAAGACAAACATGATTACCGAAGCCTTTCTTTTCCGTGAAAACTAAAACGAGATCATGTAGTTGAGAGCTGGTGGTATTTACGTTTTTTGTGTTGCCAAAAACAAAGAGGAAAATCATTTATGCAGAAATACGATTCTGGAAAAAAAAATGTCCATTTAAAGTAATACCTTAATAGTGGCCGGTACTTTTGGAAAAGAAAATAGAGATTTTCGATACAAAAATGTCACTGTATGGTACATTAAAAATTGAAACTTACTTTCTTGTTTTTAGAATTTAATTTGGCTTCAGAAATTAATTGCCATTTTTTTCATAAAAAACCCAGTCGAAACATGTACTGCTTACAGAAGTACATTGTATGGTTTAAATAATTCTAGATAAGCGTTTAGAAGACAAACTTTTGTTGACCTCTGAATTATTGCCACGATATCAGGAAAGTGTCATATCAAATCTAACTCCTCATTTGTCTCACGGCTTACAGTTAATTTCCTGTAAGATATTTTCGATTTTTCATAACTATATTGTTTCTGCAATATAACTATTTTTTAATGTTTTATGTATTATAAAGAAGCGTCATAATCAAGTATGAACTTCCTTTAGATTTGTATTGTCAAACAAAATCGGCTGTTGACGCTTTAAAGGCAGTTTATTTTTAAACCGGTTGCCACCCACCCATGTCAAACATTTAGGTCATTCACGTACGGTAATTTATGTGTCTTTTTATCTACCGCGCGCCTTCTATTTGTGGGACACTACACTCTGTTGAATTTTAAAGATTTAACTTAATTGCTGTATTATTGATATAACTAAATGCTTTCATCGGAATATGCTGGATCTTAATTGAATTTTATCGCATATTGCACCGTCTAATAAAATACAGTATACAAATGATATATCAAATTTGAATTTGTGTAAATGAATTTAAGTATCAAAGCATAAAATTTCAAGTTTAATGAGTCATTTCAAAAGCAGAATAGATTAATTCAATTTAATTCAATTCAAATTCATTTGTCCAACTTATAACTACACAGCTTATACGATCAGCATAGAAACAAAGAATTAATGTTAACAAACGTAAAAAAAGGTTTTAGCGAAATAATATCGAACTTAACTGGTTACAGACCTATCTTACCCAAAGCATATGACTGTTTCATAAATAAACAGGTTTGCAGTATGATTTTCATGTAATTAAGCAAAACAATTTCAATCGACATACACTATGTCTGTTATTTGTTTTACTATAATAAGATAAAATATGAAATTTACCTGACGGTGTTGGCAACGTTCTAACTGCTTGTCCGATTTCAGTGTTTTTCAACTCTGTCCTTGGGTTTTAAACGCGTACTTGCGTAAAAGCCTATTTTAAAAACACACTAGATAATCAAAAACCGGTTTACTTGTTCTTTATCGGTCTGTTTGACTATTTGTTCGCAGCAGTGGGAAGGGCATGTGTGTGAATAGTTTATTTTTGAGTCATATCTTATTCTCATCATAATGACGATAGACATATCCGGGTAGTATTTAATGAGTAGCAAAGAGGAATTTGCTACAATAATCGACAATATTTATCGCATCTACGATATATATAACTTTAATGCTTGTATGTTCTGTAGATTTTCTATCCAATGCTTATTCAAACAACCTGGCATGTTGACAAACATATTGTCTTTACAATAAATTTCTTCATAGTTGTACTAAAAGTACTTAAAACATGACTTTTATTATATTGAGTGAATTTCAATACCAACCGTATTTCAGATAGACTGTCGATCGAGTGGCTTACTATAACGATTTCGTTTGAATACGGGCATATATAATTAATGTAATATTGAAAGTGTATATAAAATGTATGCTTATTATGGTGTTCAAAGTAAATGAAATGTAACAAGCATAGTTTTATCCTTGACATTATACATATTACAAATGTCTATTACATGACCGCCCATTATTTCGGAAAGAGTAAACATGTTTTGCTTCATCAGCGACACCCGCCATTAAATCTTGCCCAATAGAAAGAGTAATGTCACATTTCCAAATGAGAACAAGGAAAGCAACTATTGAAATATGGTGCATATTAACGAAAATTCAAACATGTCCACGGAAATAGAATATTTTTTAATTATATCAACCTTTAAATCTTAATTTGTTTTTTTGCAATTGCCGACATCTTGACTGGAATCTTGATATTGGAAACAAACCCCCGGCTATAGAATCAACTGCGCCATATAATCACCATCGTGTTGCAGGATGTTGTTGTAAAAAATCACGATTGGAAATTCAAATTGTCGAGTTGATGAGTTTGTTGTTGGTCTTGATTTCCAAATCTGATGGTACGAACGGCTGACTGGTCGAGAAATGTCTTACCATTTAAAGACAAA